ATGGTGATGTGGGACACACTCCCTGCGCGTCCGGTCTCAGGCACACTCTTCTGCGTGCCCCGTCTCCCCCGGCCGTGGGTGCCCGCTCCCCCTGTGGGCTCACAGTGCTGATTGGAAGGGACCTGGCGTGTGCTAACTTCCCAGCTGGCCACTGGCTCCTCCGGGAGCCTTCTGCCCTTTTCAAGCAGTCTTTTCTGAAGAAAGGTCCCTGTTCTATGGGGGTGTCAGTGACTTTTTTCTGGTCGCTAGGTGGCGCCAGAGATCTCTCCTAATGTTCTTGGGGAGCTGTTTTTTTCACCCCGTGGGACAGGGAACAGAGCGGGAATGGTAGGGTAAACCTCAATGGCTTTGGGGTGCTGTGTCTGCCTTGTGCCCCACCATCGTGGAGAACCCATGCCTCGAGTTTCGTACCCCAGGTCTCAGTTCCAAAGCCCTCAGGTACAGGATGCGGGCTGTAGCCCAGTTCAATGCAGCATTGGGCGCAGAAATGGCGCCTTTTGCACCCAGCTCACGTGCCTGGGCACCTGGTTCCTGATTACTCAGTGAGGGACTTTCACTTCAGTGAGGGCTCCCGCGTGTCTCCCCGCAAGCCTAGGTCGCAGGCGAGGGGACCTGTGCAGCTGCAATCTGCGTTTGCTTTTCAAGCGTACAGCTTTTCCGCGCAAGCTTACAGGCTGGCCTGGGGCTGTGTGCAGAGCTTTGGGAATCTCTGTTGTTCTCTAATGTTGCCTGGCGCTGTTCGCTCACCTCCAAGGCGAATCCTGCAGGGTTCTCCACAGCTCCAGTTCACAGGGTGTGGTGGCTGAAATAGTCCTTTCCCCTCACAGCCCTGCTTGATGTGTAGTTTGTTCTTGTTGGTCATTTTAGTTTGTTTTTTTTCCTCCTTTCTGTTGGTCGGAGAGTGCAGACTTTGTGGGTGGTGGAGGGTAGCAGGGTTCTGCGCTTTCCTCCCTTCTAGTCCTCTTTTATGGCATCTTTCTTCTTCAGGTAGTTTGCTGGAGTCGTCCGTTTATCTTCCGTGTCCAAATTCCCACTGGGACCTGCCGCTTTTCGTACCTATTAACTTTTTTTTAATGGGAGATCTTACTCACAGGGTCTGCTCGCCACCATGTTGATCCCTGTACTTTGATATTCTAACGTTCATAACAAGTGTTATTATATCTTCTTGGAGAATTGATCCATTTATCATGTTATGCTGCTCTTTTTTTGTGATATCTGTCATTACTCTAAATTTCTTTTTTTCTGGAATTAATATAGTCTCTAGAACTTTCATTTGATTAATGTTGATATAGCATAACTTTTCCCATAGCTTTACCTTTAATCTATTAGCTTTATATTTAAAACAATGGTCAATTTTATTTTTATGCACCCTGACATTCTCTGCCTATAAACTTTTATGTTTAGACCATTGAACTTTGTAGTTTTTCATATAGTTGGATTAATAGCTACTGTGTTTGATACTGATTTCCATTCATTACCTTTGTTCTTTATTTTTGTCTTCTAATATTTTTCTACTTTCTAATTTTTTAAGATTTTTTAATTTAGTCATGCATAAAGAACTGGAGTCTAGGCCATAGGTGTGTGTGGAGGGGGTGAAAGGATTCACTAAAGACAGAGCAGGGAGCAGAACAGACGGATCTACTGAAATACACTGCTGAGGGGAGCAGTGGGTGAGACAGGGGAGGTCTGCTGTGCCATGTGGGTTAGCTCCCTGGCCTGGGATTGAGCTCATACTGCAGTGACTGGCGATAGCTTCATAGCGCTTAGACTTTAACCCCTGCGTCTCCAGGGAGGCCCTACTTTCTATTTTTTAATGAAAATTTTATTTTATATGGTCTATCCTATTTTAGCATATCAATTATTCTTCATATTTAAACTTTTTTGTGATTGTCCTAGTATATATGAGAGTATGTTTTTGATTATTTTATACTTTATCTAACTTCACCTCACACCATGCTGCTACTTGGGAAATACAGGTTACTTATTACATAGGATTTCCAATTTCACCTTACAGTCCCTTATATTTTTGTCATTCATTGCACTTTTTAGTAACATTCAATCACCATATACATTGTTGCAATTATTATTTTGGATATTCTTTTATGTAGGATCACTTACAAGTAAGAAAAATGTAACAATTTATTTTATCTTCATTCATTTTTTTCTCATGTTCTTTAATCCCTTTATCTTGGTACATATTTTAAGATTTAATTATTTTTGCTGGGGTGTAGGTCAGAGGTGCGAGATGGTGAGAGGATTCACTAGAGACCAAGTGGGGAGCAGAACAGGCAGATTGGCTGAAATACACTGCTGAGGGGAAGCAGTGGGTGAGACAGGGGAAGTCTGCTGCACCATGTGGGTCAGCTCCCTGGCTGGGGATTGAACTCTGCTGTAGTGGCTTACGACAGCTTCATAGTGCTGAGACTTAACCCCTTCCACCACCAGGGAGGCCCTGTTCATACATATTTTTGACACATCTTTTCCTTCTGTCTGAAGAAATTTTTAACATTTTTAAAAAAAGATTTATGTATTTATGTATACAAGAACTGGGATGTAGGTCAGAGGTACAGGGGTGGGGTGAGGTGATTCACCAGAGACAGAGTGGGAAGCAGAACAGGTGGATTTACTGATATATACTGATAATGGGAGAAGCAGGCAAGACAGGAGAGTTCTGCTGTGACATATGTGGGTTAGCTCTCTGGTCAGGGATCAAACTCAGCCTGCAGCTGTGATAGCATGATAGCACTGAGACGTAGCCCCTAGGCCATCAGGAAGGCCCACTTTTCAGCATTTTTTTGTGTTATAAGTATATTGGCAAGATAACCTTCAATTTTTGTTTGAGAACTTCATTAACTTTCCTTCAGTTTTACTGGGTATTTTCACTAGGTACAGAGTTCTGAGATTGTGACTTTTTTCTGTCAACTTCAATATTTCTCTCTAAGCTTTTCTTTTGCATGGTTTCTTGAGAGAGCTATTTTCTTTTTACTTATTTAATATTTTCTTTTTAATTAATTAATTTCTTCCGTCATTGTAGTCCCCATAGTCCTCCCACCATTGTGTCACCTGTGAACCAACACCATATTCCCTTGTGTTCATCTCTTCTCTGTTTTGCCCCCTTCCCATCCCCTCCTTTGCTGTCTGATTCTTAAGAGAATTATTACACTTGAATCTCTTTAGGTTAGTTGATTTTACCTCTAGTGTCTTTAAACATTTTCTCTCTGTCTCTGCCTCTGAAAAAATTTTCAGTTTTTATATGATATGCATACATGTTGATATTTGGTATTTTTCTTACTGTCTCAATCTGTTGCTTGGTATATGTCTTTATTTTTTAATATTCTCAGTCCTCATTACTTTATATATTTCATCTATTTCTTTTTGGCATTCCTAATATGCATGTCTGAAATCTTTTGTAATTACCTAATTGTTGTTAAATATGCTACTCTACCTCTTGGTATGTCAGTTTTTTAAGTTTCTATTAATATGTCTTCCAAGTTCACCAATTATTTCTTAGTCTAGTCCAGTGTGTCAGTGCTTCCATTAAAGGCATTCTTTATTTCTGTTAGTGTTTTTGATTTCCAGTATTTTTATTTGACTTTTTTTTTAAGTTTTCACTTTTCTGCTTTTATTACCCATCTGTTCTTGTGTATTGTCTTCTTTTTCCAATATAGACCTTAGCTATAATTCCTGGCCTTATATTCAACCATCTACCATGTCTGCTTCATCTGAGTTTAGTTCTGAAGGCTGTCCTCACATCAAAACTGTTTCTTGTGTGTTTTCCTTTTTGCACATTTTGTAATAAGTTGTTGGAAGCTGTTATGATGTTCTGGTTAAAGTAAATTGAGGTAGGGCCTCCCTGGTGGTGCAAAGGGTTAAGCACAGCACTATGATGCTATCCTCAGTCTCTGCACATGAGTTCGATCCCCTGCCAGGCCAGGGAGCTACCCACATGGCGCAGCAGACCTCTCCTGACTTGCCCGCTGCTCCCTCAGCAGTGTATTTCAGTAGATCCTCCTGTTCTGTTCCCCATTCTCTGTTGAATCCTCTCACCACCACCCCTATCCCTGCACCTCTGGCCTGTACTCCAGTTCTTGTATGCATAAATAAATAAATCTTTAAATAAATAAATAAAATAAATTGAGGTAGATAGGTGTTTTGCCTGAGTTTTTATGTTCATCTGATTAGGATTTAAACATTTAGTAGTTTGCTGTAGCTGTTATTATGAGAGGCCAAAATTTCTTCTAGTCTCTGTTTTTATCTTCCCTTTTATCTTTGGATTTGCTTAGAGACTTCTTAAATGAGGTCTGATACTGACTAATAAAAGGCTTCTACTTCTGGGTTTCTGTTCTGAAAAGTGTTGATTCTCTGTATTCATATATCTATTGAATACTTGAGGCAGCGGTGTTTTCTCTGACTTCAATTCTCTGTTGAATCTAAGAGAGTTGTTGATTTTTACATTCAACTTTATCTTTGTGAGAGAATGTGCTTGGTAATTTCCAAGCTTCTTGATTGTTGAACCAGGAACCAGAAGTCTACATCTATCACTTTTTTTTTCTTTTGGCTTCACGTTCCTCATTTGTAAAATTAAGTGATAAGATCACTACTTATCTGAATTCATTCATATATGATACATAAGAAAATGAATGAACTAAGTAAAATAAAAACAAACTTTTAGATGAATAGAAAAAATAACAGTTACAAAAAGGGTGAGCAAGGTGGCTAATTTGCATAAGAGATGTCAATAGCATGGTGATAGATGGAAACTAGAGTTCTGGTAATTCTGGTGACAAACACGAGGTAGCATATACAGATGTTGATTTAAAATGTTTTGTACCTGAAATCTATATAACGTTATAGATCATTATTGGTTCAATAGACAAACGGAAAAGGTCACTGTTCAGTGGTTAAATTCTCCTTTAGCTCTACCATACTATTGAGTACATAAGCACTGATTATCATGAAAATGACTACACTGATTTGTGACATGTGTGTCTCTTCTACAGGCAGATCTCCAGGTGGACAAGGAGAGGCATAATTTCTTCGAATCTTCTCTTGATTATGTATATCAAATTCAGGAAGTTCAAGAATCCAAGAAGTTCAATATTGTTGAGCCAGTAAGTTTTCTGTATTGATGTCAAACATATTTACCAAGTACCTGGTATATGTGGAAATCTTTCGTTGTAAAATTGGAATCTCAAAGAATGTGAAAGGGAATTAATATTTAAAAATGAATGTAAAGAAATTAGATACACTGGCTAAAATATTTTTGCTTTCTCCCTACTGTTCTTTTCTTCTCTTTCTCATCTTTCCTTCTGTTTTCTTCATCAACATTTTTCTCATTTTAGCTATGTTTCTTTCTTTTTTTTTAAAGATTTATTTATGCATACAAGAACTGGGGTACAGGCCAGAGGTATGGGGGGTGAGAGGAGTCACCAGAGGCAGAGAAGGGAACAGAACAGGCTGAATGACTGAAATACACTGCTGAGGGGAGCAGAGGGTAAGTCAGGAGTGGTATGCTTTACCATGCTGGTAGCTCCTTGGCTGGGGATCGAACTTGTGCTTCATTGGCTGTGGATAGCCTCATAGGTTGCATCTTAACCCCTTGCACTACCAGGGAGGCCCTATGTTTTTTTCTTTATCTCTTTCTTTTCCTCTTTCCACCCCTCCCTTAATTTCTCTGTCACCCCTAATTTTAATTTTGGCTTGTTCCCCTTTCTTCATTCCTCTCATTCATTCAGTAAAACTCTTAAAGTGTCCATGATTTACCAACCACTGTTCTAGGAACTTACATCTGTTGCATTCAGCGACTTCCCATTCTATTATTTGTACTTCTTTTTTCCCTGAAATCAGTAACAACTTTTATTGCATCTTAAAGATATATTACAAATAGGTCTAAGGAATCATCCAGTATCTTGATCTTTCTGTAGCTGGACAACTTAGATCTTATTCATTAGCCTGCTGAACTGTTCCTTTTAAGATATATATGTATCATCCAAAAATTTCCTGCTATCCTTGTTTTTCACTGTTGTGGCTTGCTGAATCAAAAGGACTGAATTTGATATAAATTCAGTATCATTTCCTTGAAGAAATAACTCATTTTTGTGGACTTGAGCCACTGAACAAGCAACTTCTGCTCTCAGCTAAGCCCTCTGAATGTATTTTTCTCTCAGGAATTTTTTGCTTTCAACAAGAGACCCATTCTCCTGAATAACACTGTGAACAAAACCCAACTTCTTTTGTCAACCTGGATCCTCTTCTTTTTCTTTCTAAGGAGACCCAATTCGACATTGATGTGATTAAAGCCCATCGGTAGGGTGCCTCTGGTTCCCTTCACAGTATCAGTGCAACCCTTTAGGGGGGTGTTGACATATTCTGGAATGCCCACAGTCTGATTGCTGAGAATGGATTTCGTTCTCTCAGTAGATGTGGCAGGGATTGCTGAAATAATTTAATATCTACTTCCAATAGCTTTTTTGTTTTTCATGAAGTAGTAGTGGAAGCTGCACTAGATCTTATTAATAAGTCACACAAATGGATAGAACCATGTAAACCACTAGACATCTCCTTCAAGGAGATGTATATGTTGACAGTCTGCTGAGAATGGTCTCATTCTTGTAGTCAATGCGGCAAAGAGACAATTATTTTTATTTCTATCTTCTTTATTTTTCCACTTAAATTTCCTTAATTCAATAAAAAAGATGATATGCTTTGATTTGATTAGTATATTGATTAGTAACTTTTTTTTAAGTTTTTTTTTTTTTTTAAGATTTGTTTTTTTTTATTTATACAAGCCCTGGGTACAGTCAGAAGCATGGGAGGGTGAGAGAATTCACCAGAGCCAGAGCAGGGAACAGAACAGGCAGACTGATGAAATACACTGCTGAGAGGTGCAGCAGGAGAGGTCTGTGGCGCCATGTGGGCCCCCTCGCCTGGCGGCCGGGGATCTAACCGGTGCTGCAGAGGCTACAGGCAGCTTCGCAGCCCAGCGCTCAACTGCTGCGCCACCAGGGGAGACCCTAATTAGTAACTTTTCTATCATCATATTCCTTTTGTTGAAAAGTAAGAACAAATTTCAGGAAAAACAAATAAAAAGTAGCAAATCTCCTGTGCAGAGATAATCACTGTTAAAATTGTGGCACTTTTCTTCCCAAATATTGTATTTATCTATAAAATTCTTTGTCTATTTGTGAATGTTTGTGGATATGGATATGTGTATACATGTGTGCTTGTGTGTATTTGCATTTACACATTGCATGTGAACATGTAATTTTGTGATCATATGTATCTATGTTCATATTTGTATAAATTTATATATGTATATGTACAAACAGGTATTTTTTAAATTTATACAACAAACAATTACTGAGGTTTGGTTAAGTGCTTGGTGCAGTGTTTGATACTGGGTACCCTATCCTGAAGAAGACTGATTCAACTTCTGTCTTTGTGAAAAGTGCATTCTCATGGTGTAGACATAGAGAAAAAACAATTAAGCAGCCTTAAATTTAAATCTTCCTACAGTTATGACTCCAAAGGCAAAGAGGAAGTGCTCCTTGTTTGAATTAACACAGCATTCTGTTTTTGATAGATGAAAATCATATTTTATTTTGTTTAAAGGGGTTGAATATTTTGAATATTTATAGATCATTTGCATGTCTTCTGCAACCCTCCTAAAATATTTCTAATTTGAAAATGGGTTCAGATTCCTTTGGTTTTTAACTATTATGACAGTTTTCATTAATATGCAAAATCTTATTCATTCATTTATCAATTTGATTGTCATTTTATTCAAGTATTTATCAGGCATATAATCTGTGCCAATTTTGAGGCTAATATATTGCCAGTCTATTTCCATACTGTCCAAAATATGAATGACTTTATGTGCTATTTAAAAAGATCCTGATTGAATAAATTTGTAGTTGTAGTTCTTAGTTTTTGGAACTGAGTCCAGTATAAATACCTATATATAGATCTGTTTTTGGTTGCATGACTGCTTTTAACACTATACTGGCAAACACTGTGGAGAGTTTCTTTTTTTTTTTTTGTCCTTCTGTTTCCTGTATTTGATTAATGAGGTGATGGTGATAAAATTATTTTTGCATGTGTTCTCTAGGTCTTGGCCTTTCTTCATAGCCTCTTCATTTCCAACAGCTTGACTGTGGAGCTCACACAGGATTTCCTCCCTTACAAACAGCAGCTCCAGCTAAGTTTACAGAATGTGAGTTTGTATCTGGATTTTGCAATCTGTCTTTGCATTCCTATTAAATTTTGACCCCAGTGACATGGGCCTTGAAATTCTAGGTTATCCCACCAACCCAATTTGTCAGAACACACTGGTATGCATCATCACTAATATATTGTTTTGATGGATTGTTTTTGCTTTTGCAGTTTCAACTCTCTCTGGTTTTGAGACCCATAGTTATTCAAACCCACCCTCCGACCCATCAATATCTCTATCTATCAAAATTTATTAGTGTTGTTAATTTGTTGCCTCTATCCCATATCGAAACCTAGTGACAGACTTGCTTAAACACATGTCTTATGCTACTTAGCTCCTAGTCAAGACATTCTCATTGCGGGAGTCATTACTATGAATGCCCATTTTCCCTTCTCTTCCATTTCTCACTACTTATTATTAGCATTAAATTATTTTCAAAGTTTTTATCAACATCTTTTTCTATACTGGTTCTTATATGGGCATATAGGCACAACCGTCCCATTCTTGTCAATACATTCTTTTTATCATTCATTTATTTAACCCATGTTTAGTGGATGCATTGCCAATGACACTGGACATACTATAATAAAGCATATTAGTTTTTAATGTCTTGAAGTAATATGCAGTCTCTTGGATGAGGGAGAAATAAACACAGATAAATCATAAATCCTTTAGTGGTAAATGCTACAACAGAATTAAGACCAATATTTTTAAAGAATAACAAAGTGGAACAGTTGACCTCCTAATAGAGTCAGAGAAGGGATTAGTTGTTACATTGTCTGAAATTTGTAGATATATTTTTAGATAAAGGCTGGTAAGTTGCAGTGGAAATAAACTTTACATGGTTGTTTTAGAGCATCTAAATTTAAACTTGTTATTGTTTTTCATTCTGGGTATGCTTCTTCTTCCTGGGTAATCTTCTTTAGCAGAAATTTAAGGCTCCTACATTCTGCTTATTTACAAAATCTTTCTATACCCAGGATAATTACTTGAATCTTTCACCAAATATAACTTGACAGATGTGAGTTTAACAAAAAGTCTGTGTTTGTGTATATATGGCAATCATATTAATAGAGTAGGCCAAACTAGATTGGGCAGACCAGATCACTACCTTCACCGATATTTATGTCACAATCTTGAGACTTAACAAAGAACTATTTCTAGTGATTTTCATATTCACAGTTCAAATTGTGTTTTGTCATTGTCTTTTAGTTGTATAGTTTAAAAATATTTTTTACCATTAGCTTTTATTATTTACGAGAATAGAAACTAAAATGTTAATTCACCTATGTTCAAAGAGCGCACCCTCTCACATAGTTTATCCTAGTGACCAGAATTTGATTAACAGTCATATAGGCAGACCTTGAGTCAGAAGTCAGATGTTGCCTTGATAGTGTTATCTTTGGGAACCTTCTTTTTGTGAAGTAGGGGTCAAACTGGTGCTCAGAATATTAGGAATCCTTATTCTTTGGAACTTTATAGGTTTCCCAATAGAAAAGAGGTCTCTCCCACATGAGGCTTTCTGAAAACATTGCTATTTAGTTTTCTATTTTCCTTTTAGCCTTTAGTGCTATTAAACACCATACAATTTGTTTCTAGTTACTAGGCAATTCAAAACCTGTTTGTTGCTATGTTGTAGTACACAATATCAACCATGAAAACTCTATCTGGGTCTCTGACTAATAAATGCTTATTTGTTATGATGTTGTTGTTGTTGTTGTTGATGATGATGATGATGATGTCTTGACAGACAAGAAATCATTTCTCCAGTACCCGGGAAGAGATGGAAGAGCTTAAAAAAAGGATGAAAGAAGCTCCCCAGACATGCAAGCTTCCAGGACAGCCAACTATTGAAGGCTATCTCTATACACAAGAGAAATGTGTGTGGGAATACAGGGCTACCCTCTGGGTTTCAGTAGGCTTGTACTATTGCCACTTTAACTCTCCAAACTGCAGACACACATATTGCTCACAGACCCCAGAAAACTACAACTCTTTAGAGAGCAGCCTGGGAATACTGAAAATAAAACAGAGTGAGAGATTGGAGATTCAAAGTGGGGATTGTTAATTGTTTAATCATTCTGCTCACTGGTTGGTGTAAAATGGTGGTACCAGAAAGGATGCTGAAAAACAATTTGTTATACCTCCTATGTGCCAGGCATCACACTAAGTTCTTTAATATTCGAAAATATTATCAGATCCATTTTCCACATGATGCCACCAAGAGTTAGAAAGCTTAGCATTGAAAGTCACCCAACAATCATGTAGCAGACCTAAGATTAAATTCAGTTATGTGAAATGCCAAAACCTGTGCTCCTATCAGTATATCCATTATCCTTCACTGCCTTAGAATCATATGGTTGCTAATAAAGCACTAAACAGACATCATGATTTCATTGGGCAGGTCAGTTATATTTTTCTTTACCAACAAGGGAAGATGAGGTTACTCATCCATTTACTGAATATTGCAGAGGATTCACATTTTCCTACCTTGTAAATAACATTATATAAACCTATATGTGTTATTTGATTTTCCTTATGACCCAATGTCCCCAAAACCTTTGATTTATTATGTGTCCAGGATTATTGCTTTTGGGGAGTAGGATATCCAGAGGTTAGGAAAAGCAGATCCAGTGGTTACCAGCTGTAAAAATCACTGCAATCCACTCAGTGGCATTATTATACTTCACCTCCCTTAGAGGAGTAACTTCTGATGGTTTTAAAGATGTGTTCTCCCATGTTCAAGTTTATCTCTTCAACTCTGCATTGCAGAATTTCTCAATCTCATTGCTATTGATATTTCAGGATGGATAATTAGTTGTTTTGGGGGTTCATCCTGTGCATATTAGGGTGTTTAAGTGGCTACTTTATTCTTCTTACCTTTCACAGTTTGACAAGGCTGACAGATGTATCAATTAATATAATGAAATGTGTAGAACAGTACTTTTGCCTTATATCAGTTCATTGAGGAAATGATATATGAACTGGAATTTGAATTTTGATTGTGAGTTCGACAGATAATGAAAAAGGGAAGGAAAATTACAAGTGTGTACCATTGTGTGAGTAAAGGCACAGAGGTATGTGGACATGAAGTTTATTTGTAGGTTTATTTGTAGGACATGTAAGTTTTTTAGTTGCCAAGAATGATCCTGGTTCATACCTGTTGTTCTATTGTAATTATCATTAGTGCCAAATTCTCTCTTAAATAGACCTTGAATTAGATTGTAAATTATATGACCACCTATTTGTTTGGTAGCTGAAAGTAATTCAATGAGACAGGATCATAGGGGTGACGGTGGCAAAAGAAAAAGCTGGAAAAGCAAATATGGTCACATTATGAAGGGCTTTGTGTGCCAGGCTAAAAAGTCTGGAGAGAGTGGGGAAGTCCTGGGTGGTTTATAGTAAAAGGCATGATGTAAATAGAAATATATTTTAAAAACATTTTTCTAGGTGAAGCATGGATAATGGATTGGAATGGGATGATTTGAGATGAGGGAAGCCAGAGAGAAAGCCACTGAAATTATTAATTGGAAAATTGTGAATTTTTGTTTTGTTTGAAATAGCTTATAAAACTTAAAAAAAAGGGCCTCCCCAGTGGTGCAGCGGTGAGCGCTCGGCAGCGAAGCTGCCCACAGCTTCTGCAGTGCCAGTTCAATCCCCGGCCGCCGTCAAGGGTCCCACATGGCGCCCAGACCTCTCCTGCCATGCCCGCTGCTCCCCTCAGCAGTGTACTTTGGTCCTTCTGCCTGTTCTACTCATTGCTCTGGCTCTAGTGAATTCTCTCACCCTCCCATGCTTCTGAATGTACCCAGTGCTTGTATAAATAAATAAATAAATAAATCTTAAAAAAAAAAAAAAGACTTTAAAAAAATGGAGAAGAGGAGGTAACTAAAGGACAGACCTGTAGGAGATTGAATAAGCAGTACCCAAACATCAATCAAATGGGGTAGGTTACAGGAAAGGAGCAGAAGATAACAGTTGCATGTTTTCATCTCATGCAACAGGATGTTTAGTGGTACCATTCATAGGAAACATGACAGAGAGTGGTGTGGAGAAAGCTAGAGCAGATGTGGAAAGCAGTTGATGAGGGTTAAACTCTCCATATGTGCGGTAGGAAATTGGCACTACGGAGCAGGAGTTTAAGGGAAGGGTAGTCCTGTATCTGGGGCATAACCATGTAGATGAAGCTGTGCCCATCTTCTGCTTAGGGGGGTGCTGACTATGCATCCAAAAAGATTTATTGTGGCAACTCACTATTGCCTATCTTTGTAGGGGCTTTGGGAATATCCTGGGTGAAATACTACTGCCAATATGAGAAAGAGACCAAAACACTCACCATGACGCCAATGGAGCAGAAGCCAGGTGCTAAACAGGTCAGTTCTTTTGAGTGCCATATTTTCGGAGATTGATCTGTAACTGCATCTCAGAAAATTATGTTTATTGACGGAGTATCAAAGAATCAAGTACAATACTATCATGTGAAGCCATTACTTGATTTGTTCTTCTTGGTCTAAGTTTGCATTGGGCGAGATAGTACTCAAGTTGAGTGAGAAAACTGTTAATTACATCCAACCCTCTGAAAGTGCCTGTGCTCTTTGAGACCATTTTTAAAATTACTTGTCACATTGTACCTATCACATTTACAGTACCTGTCACATTGTACAAACGAAATATGAATGAATGAATCAGAGGGGAGTGCTACTTGCTTTCGAAAAGGCTCTAACATCAAATCCTTTAAGTAACAAGAGTTTCAAATATAAATTATTTTCTAAATTTCTTATTTTAAAATAAAATTTTATTGATTTACAATACTATATAAACTTGGGTGTACAGCTTCAAATCTTGTAGGTGTACACTTTACTGTATCTAGAAAAAAGTTCTAAGGTCATTCACACTATCAAATTGAACCCCCTCTACCTATTTCTACCACTTTCCTTCCTCTCCCTTCTTCTGGTCATCACTCTATTATTCTCAGAGTAAGAGTTATCTTTCTTATGTTTTATTAGTTTGCTTGCTTTGTTTATCTATTATCCATATATCAATGAAATGATCCAGTAAGTCTTTCATTTTCTGACTTATTTCACTTATAGAACCATCTCAGATTCCATCCATATTGTCACAGATGGCTAACTTTCATCTTTCTGAATAGTTGAGTTGTATTCCATTGAATATATGTATATATATTTGTTCTGCAGCTGCTTTATCCATTCATCTGTCAGTGGACATTTAGGTTGTTTCAGGGTCTTGGCCAATGAGCTACCACTTCACAGAATGTGCTAGATACAAAAGATTGGAAACAAACAAACAAAAAATACTGTCAAGGGGTTGAACAAAAAGAAGCTGTAGTACACATTTGGTGGGAATGTAATTTGGATAGCCACTATGGAAAATGATGTGAATATTTCCTAAGAAAATAAAAAATAGAGGAAGGGGGCGGAGCAACATGGCGGCGAGGAGACGCTGCCAGTAAGATCTCCCATTAAAAAAAGTTAATAGGGAGGAAAAGCGGCAGGTCCCAGTGAGAACTGGGACAGGGAAGATAAACGGACGACTCCAGCAAACTACCTGAAGAAGAAAGTTGCCATAAAAGAGGACCAGAAGGGAGGAAAGCGCAGAACCCTGCTCCCCTCCCCCACCCACAGAGTCGGCACTCTCCTACCAGCAGAGAGGAGGAAAAAAACAAATTAAAACGACCAATAAAAACAAACTAGGCAGCAAGCGGGACTGTGAGTGGAAAGGAACTATTGCATCCACCACACCCCGTGAACGGGAGCTGTGGAGAACCCTGCAGGATTGACCACGGCTGTGAGCGAACAGCTCCGGGCGCCATTAGAGAAGAACAAAGAGACTCTGGAGGAGACGCGCAAACAGCCCCGGGCCGGCCAGTAAGCTTGCGCGGAAAAGCTGCACGCTTGGCACACTTGAAAAGCCAACTCAGATCGGGATCGCGGCTGCACAGGTCCCCGCGACTGCGACCTAGGCTTGCGGGGAGATGCGCGGGCGGAGGTCCTCACTGGGGTGAAAGTCCCTCACTGAGTAGGCAGGAACCAGGCGCCCGGGCACAGGAGCGGGGTACAAAAGGCGCCATTCCCGCGCCACTGAACTGGGCTACAGCCCGCGTCCTGGACCTGAGGGCTTTGGAACTGAGACCCGGGGCATGAAATTCAGGGTGTGGGTTCTCCACGACGGTGGGGCACAAGGCAGACACAGCACCCCAAAGCCGTTGAGGTTTACCCTACCATTCCCACTCTGTTCCCGGTCCCACGGGATGGGGGGAGGCGAAAAACAACCCCCAAAGGACAATAGGTGAGATCTCTGGCGCCACCTAGCGACCAGGAAAAAAAAGTCACTAACACCCCATAGAACAGGAAATTTCTTAAGACTGCTTGAAAAGGGCAGAAGGCTCCCGGAGGAGACAGTGGCCAGATGGGAAGTTAGCCCACGCCAGGCCCCTTCCGACCAGCAGTCTGAGCCCACAGAGGGAACAGGCACCCACGGCCGGGGCAGACCGGGCACACAGAAGAGTGTGCCTGAGACCGGAAGCGCAGGGACTGAGTCCCGCGTCGCCATTTTAGATCAGGGACATTTCTTCAGTAAAGACTGCCTGAAACCCGCAGAAAGCTCCCTCAGAAGCCAGAGATGGCTCCTGGAGGAGCCAGAGGGGAGCGGAGAAGTTCACCCAAGATGCCGGCCAGTCCGAGCAACACAGTGTCCCAATGCATACGACAAATTAGAAAACAGACAGTAGGGAGTAGAAGAACCACACGCAACCTAACAACTCCTCAGTAAAAAAAGCACACCACAAAAAGAAAACCACCCTCCAGATTACAACGACAGTAACTTGGAAGAACTTCTGAGACTTCCAGAAAGAGAATTTAAAATTGCTGTGATTAAAAAACTGACAGAAGTCATAAAGGAAAACAATTATATGAGAAAAATAATCAAAGATCAGAAGAATGAAATTGAGTCCGTAAAGAGGGAAGCAAAAGAACCACAGGAGATCAAAGAATTAATGGAGGAACTAAAGAACTCTGTGGGAAAAGCAATGGAAGCAGAATAGATGAAATGGAAGAACGAATAAGTACTCTTGAAGACACAGAAATAAAAAGAACCTAAACAGAAAAGGAAAGAGACTGAAGAAAGACTTCGGGAACTATCTGACTCCATGAGGAAAGGAAATATAAGAGTTATAGGAATACCAGAAGGAGAGGAGAGAGATGTAGGAACAGAGAAAATATTCCAGGAGATAACTGAAGAGAACTTCCCAAATGTGAAGAAGGAGCTGAAAATTGATATACAAGAAGCAAGTAGAACACCAAACTTCCACGATGAAAGAAAAAATACAGCAAGACACATAATAGTAAAGCTCCCAAGAATCCAGGACAAGGAAAAAATAATGAAGCTGGCAAGCGGGAAGAAATAGATAACATTCAAAGGAAAACCAATCAGGCTGACATCGGACTTCTCTGAGGAAACACTACGTGCAAGGAGAGAGTGGAGGGACATAGTCAACAGAATCCAAGAAAACAGATGCCAACCAAGAATAATCTGTCCCGCAAAGCTATCCTTCCTCTATGAAGAAAGAATAAGGACCTTCCCAGACAAACAGAAACTCTGGAATTTCATTAAGACTAAACCCCCACTGCAAAAAATACTACAAGGAATTCTAAAGCTAGAACCTCAGAGGGACGAATAACAACGAAAGAAGGCCAAAAAAAAAGTTATTAAAAGAATAAATAAATAAAATCACAGGAAAGACAAACACAATGGCAAATACAGATGCTAAGATATCAATATTAACTCTAAATGTAAATGGACTAAACTCTTCAATAAAAAGACACAGAGTTGCAGCCTGGATTAAGAAACAAAACCCAACCTTTTGCTGTCTGCAGGAAACACATTTAGCTACAAAAGATAAAAATAGACTCAAAGTTAAAGGTTGGAAAACAATCCTACAAGCAAATGGAGCAAAAAAGAAAGCAGGAACAGCTATACTTATATCAGATAAAACAGACTTCAAACTCAAAAAAATAAAAAGAGACCCCAATGGTCACTACATTATGATCAAGGGGACAATATTTCAAGAAGAAATAACACTCATTAACATATACTCACCAAACGAAGGAGCACCAAAATATATCAGACAACTGTTGTCCTCTCTGAAAACAGACATCAGAGAAAACACATACGTAGTGGGAGACTTCAACACACCACTATCAACAATGGATAGATCAACAAGACAAAAAATAAGTAAAGAAATTAAAGCTCTAAATAAGGACCTAGAGCATTTGGGCTTAACAGACATCTATAGAACACTAAACCCCCAAAAAACAGAGTGCACATTTTTCTCAAGTGCACACGGATCATTCTCCAGGATCGATCACATACTGGGGCACAAGACAAACATCAACAGATACACCAAGATTGAAATCATACCAACCATCTTTTTTGACCATGAAGGCATCAAGCTAGAAATAAACCATAAAAAGAAGGCAAGGAACTTTCCTACCTCATGGAGACTAAAAACCACACTATTGGAAGACCACTGGACTAATGAGGAGATCAAAGAGGAAAATAAAAAATTCTTTTAATTGAATGACAAGGAGGACACCAATATCCTAAATGTATGGGAAGCAGCAAAAGCAGTAATGAGAGGAAAATATATAGCAATAGAAGCTCACATCAAGAAACAAGAAAGAACTCAAAGAAACAACCTAATCTCGAAGCTCAAAGATCTAGAATAAGAACAACAACAAAAAAAAACCAAAACCAGTAGAAGAAAAGAAATAATAAAAACCAGAGCAGAAATAAATGAAATTGAAAATAAAAAAACAATCCAAAAGATTAATGAAACCAAGAGCTGGTTCTTCGAAAAAATCAATAAAATAGACAAACCCCCGCCAGGCTCACAAAGGAAAAAAGGGAGAAAGCACAAATAAACAGGATCAGAAATGAAAGAGGAGAAATCTCAACGGACACAGCAGAAATAAAAAGAATAATCAGTAACTACTATGAAGAGTTATATGGAAACAAGTTCAACAATCTAGAGGAGATGGACAAATTCCTACAACTCTACAATCACCCAAAGCTAGATAAAGAAGAAATAGAACACCTAAACAGACCAATTACAACTAGCGAAATTTAAATGGTAATCAAAAACCTCCCCAAAATCAAAAGCCCAGGACCCGATGGATTTACAAATTAATTCTACCAAACATTCAGAGATGAATTGGTGCCTATCCTTCACAAACTTTTCTAAAATATTGAGAAGGAAGAGACAATACCGAACACGTTCTATGAAGCCAACATTACACTAATACCAAAACCGAATAAGGATAACACAAAAAAGGAAAACTACAGGCCAATTTCCCTA